GGAAATTAGGGAGAAAAAAATAGAGGGGTAAGACATTTGTGGGACACAGAAATGGTTTATTACTTGTTGATGATAACGCATATAGTATTCTCAAGTGGACTGATCTGAGGTGTATTTCATGTTGGGTAAATTCTCTTTATTAGCTAAATGATGTATAGTGATTATATGTATAAAAAGCAAAGTTTTAAAAATAAAATCTTAAAAATTAAGGTGCTGGACTCCCATATGGTTGACTGCAGTTCTGGACATGGCAGATTGCTTTCTCACTTTCCCTCTCTCTCTCTTTCTGTATCTCTCTGGTCAAATTAGAAAATCACAATAATAATTGGGAACCAGCAGTTAGCATAATGGCTATGTCGCTGGACTCCCACGTAGTCGACCGCGGTTCGTGTCCTGGACCCGGTGGCTTAAAACTCACGCCGGGCGCGTGTGCGTGCGTGCCCAAGATCCCGAGAGGAGAATGGAGGAGAAGGGATTGCGGCGTGACCATCCCCCCTGGGGGGTGATTTCTCGCTTTCTGTCTCTATGTCTCTCTCTGTCTGGCGAGCGCACCCGCCCTCCAGTGAAAAACTCTAAAAAAAAAAAAAAAAAAGAAAGAAAATAACAATAATAAATAAAATAAATAATCTTTTTTTTTTTTTTTTTTTTTTTTTAGAGAGAGGGATTTTTGTTACAGGGCATGTGTACTCAGCAAAGACAGAACACCAGAAATCACACACTTCCCCCACCCCCAGAGGGGATGGGCACACCGCAGTCCCTTCTCCAGTCTCCTCTCAGGAGTTTGGGCATGCACACACACATGCCCAGTTTGAGGTTGTGTGTGTGTATGTGTGTGCGTTTTAAGTTTCAAGCATTAAATAACATTTTAACATTTAAAGACACACCTTTTACCTTACTTTATATTTCAAAGCTTTAAGTTATTAGAACTTCAATTTTAAAAAATTTCACATTTAAACATTTTATATAAAAATCAAAACATTGGGACCAGCCATTAGCGTAATGGCTGTGTCGCTGGACTCCCACGTAGTCGACTGCGGTTCGCATCCCGGACCCAGTGGCTTAAAATTCACGCCGGGCGCATGTGCGTGCATGCCCAAGATCCTGAGAGGAGAATGGAGGAGAAAGGATTGCGGCGTGGCCATCCCCCCTGGGGGGCGATTTCTCGCTTTCTGTCTCTCTGTCTCTGTCTGTCTGGCGAGCGCACGCACCCTATAGCGAAAACCTCTCAAAAAAAAAAAAAATCAAAACATTGCTTAAATCATAAAATTGACAAACACAATCTAAATTTTTGATAAATAACTATACACTACACAATCATGCCCTCTTATGCTCTAACAGTAGTATAATTCACTTCTAGAAAATCTGTTTACGAAAAATCCTTTCCATAGATATATTCCTAAGCTTACAAAAAGGGCTTAATGTACTTTCCTGAGAAGAACTGAACAATTGGGAGGGCCAGCAGGTGGTATGGTGGTTAAGGTGGCTGGACTCTCACATGGCTGACCAAGGTTCAAGTCCCAGACTTGGCAGCTTGCTTCCTCACTTTCTTTTTCTCTCTTTCTATCTCTTTGGTCAACTTAAGAAAAAATCATGACAGTGAATAAAATTAAATTAATTCTTTTAAAAAATTGGGGGCACGAAGCATGAATGGCCCAAAGAAGTGTGGTATTATCTGTTGAAGATATTTTGTAGTTTTATCAACAGTACTAGGGAGAAATGTTCACCTGTTGAAATATCCATTTTGTAAGACAAATAATAATGTGATTGAATGTATGGAAGAAAATGAAATGAAAAAAAATTAAAAAAAAAAATTGGGGGCAGGCAGGTAGCATGGTGGTTGAGACACTGGACTCCCACATGGTCGACCACAGTTCAAGTTCGGAACCTAGTGGCTTGCTTTCTCACTCTCCCTTTCTGTCTGTCTCTCTCTGATCAAAATTGAAGAATAATGATAATAAAAATTGAAAATAAACAAATCTTTCAAAAATTAAAAAAATAAGGGGACCAGCAGTTAGCATAATGGCCAACCATGGTTCAAATCCTAGCCCCAGTGGCTTATAAAACATGCCAGGTACGTGTGCATGCCCCCAACTCTCACAGGATGACAAAATGGTGGAGAGGGGATTGTGGCATGAACCATGTGCTTTCTCCCTTTCTGTCTCTCTGATAAGTGCACACACTTTCTGGTGCTAAAAAAGGAAAGGAAAGGAAAGGAAAGGAAACTCTTGTTGAAAAAGGTAACAACTAGCACAGTACCCTGAATTTTCAAATAAAATGGCAACAAAATTATTTTCTCTCAAATATCATCTGATGCCATAATAGCCTAAAATTTCTTTTAACTTCAACCAAGGCTGTGTCAAAATTTGCGGTTTATAGTTATTTTTATTCTTTTTTTTTTTTGGAGAGGTTTTTGGTATAGGGCACATGTGCTTGCCAGAAAGACAGAGAGACAGAGAGACAGAAAGACAGAAAGCAAGAAATCACCCCCCACAGGGATAGCCACGCTGCAATCCCCTCTCCTCCATTCTCCTCTCAGGATCTTGGGCACGCACGCACACGCGCCTGGCGTGAGTCTTAAGCCACCGGGTCTGACTTGAACCGCAATCGACTATGTGGAAGTCCAGCGACGTAGCCATTACGCCAACTGCTGGTCCCAATAGCTATTTTTATTCTTAAGAGTGCATGAACATGCATGAGAAAGAAAGAGGCACCGTCGTCATGCGGTGATCCCTTTCCCACTATCCTTGCCATCAGGATCTTTGGCACATGTAACCAATGTGTTTTCAAATTAACTGGGGATCTGAACCCACCGTTGGCCATGTGGCTTCTGCAGATCAGTAGGCTACCATGTCATTGAGTTTGTCATTTGTTTTGCCTTAGGCCAGAGACAGAGACAGTGAGAGGCAAAGTAAGAAATCACCCTTCCAGGAGGGATAGCCATGCCGCAATTCCTTCTCCTTCATTCTCCTCCTGGGTTCTTGGGCATGTACACATGTGCCCAGCATGAGCCACCCAGTGGAACTCAAACTGTAGTTGGCCCACAGGACCAGCAGTTAGCGTAATGGCTATGTCGCTGGACTCCCATGTAGCCGACTGCGGTTCGCGTCCTGGACTGGTGGCTTAAACTCACGCCAGGAGCGTGTGTGTGTGTGTGTGCCCAAGATCCCAAGAGGAGAATGGAGGAGAAGGAATTGCGGCATGGCTATCCCTCCTGGAGGGGTGATTTCTTACTTCCTGTCTCTCTGTCTCTGTCTGTCTGGCAAGCGCACGTGCCCGATAGCAAAAACCTCTCAAAAAACAACAACAAAAAACAACTGTGGTTGGCCTGTGAGAGTTCAGCAACATAACCACTATACCATCTGCTGGGATGCCAGAGTTTATCATTTTTAAGACCCAGTAGACAACCAATGGAAATGTAATGCAGCAAGAACTAATTCACTGGACTGTAATAAACCCTGACTTCCAAAGTTTAAAAGAAATTCCAAGATCCTCTGTAATCCCATCTCCAGAATCCCATCAGATTATCTTGTTTTTCTATATAAGTAACAACTTGCCCTTAATTGCTTTTCCCACATTTTGCTGTATAACTGCTACCCTGATCACATCTCCCTGGTAGCTCAATCCCAGTGGCACATGTATACTGTAATGCAAGTGTCGTAAGCAACTCCAGAGAATATAAGAATGTAAGGGTACTTTTAAAATTTTTATTTGTTATTATTATTTTTTAGAGAGAGACAGGGAAAGGGAAAATGAGAAAGCAAGCCACCAGGTCTGGAAGTCAAACCGTGGTTGGCCATGTGGGAGTCCAGCATCTTAACCACTGCACCACCTGCCAGCCCCAAGAACATAAGGGTACATTAAGGGTATATTAGAAAGGCTGCATCTGACACTTCACTTAGAACATATATAATGGTGGTGTTTAGTTTTAGACTGAAGAATAGGGAATATAGTAGCTATAATTAGCATAAAATTCCAAGACCCAAAAGTAAAAACTATTAATAGATCTCCCTCCCACTCTAGTCCACAAGTCATTCAATTCACTTTCAAGAGGTAACCATTGTTTCAGTCTCATCTGTCTATTCAGAGATAGTCTACGTACACTGCAAGCAATTACATATTTTAGATACGTACACATGTAGGTATATGCATACATTTTAAAAACATAAATAGTGCTATACTATACACATTCTTCTTCACATTGTTTTTCACTTCTGTTACACTGTCTCATTGGCATAGAAGACACAGACACCCAGTGGTATGGCATGATGCCATAACCAATTTCTAGCTAACCTTAGTAAATCATAACAAGGCATGATACGGTGTCATAGCAGAGTATGTGAGAAATTCTAAAATCTTATTTGTCTCCATGATTGTTAATTAATGCCCTTCAATGTACTAAATTATACAAGGTACATTATATTTGCACTTTATACAATAACCCTTTCAGGTGAGGTTTCTTGAGTTTCATTATTTTATAGATGAGAGAATTAAAGCTTAGAATGCTTCACTAGCCCAAAATCCCAGCTAGAAAGTGAGAGTTGTCTAAAGACCATGTACTCTGTACGTGCTAATTGCATATTTGTGCTTTATAATTTTTTAAAAACAGTATTCTCATATATTTCATATTTCCTTTGTTTAATTCAAATATTATATCACAGTCATCCTCAGTTATAGAAACAGATTCTACTGCAATATCGAATTCTTCTCACTATTTAAATTGCATGTTACCATCATTGGGTACTGCCTTCTATACTCACATTCCCACAGCAATAAAACTAGGGGAAAAAATTACAGAAAGAGATTTGTATTTGGCATGCAAGAAATGCATAACAATTTTACATGACAAAGGCTGGCAAAACTTTTTTTTGAGAAATTTTTTTGTTACAGGATGTGTGTATTTACCAGAGAGAGACAGAAAGTAGGCAATCCCCCACCCCCCCGCCAGAGTGGATAGCCACGTCACAATCCCTTCTCCATTCTCTTCTCAGGACTTTGGACATGAACATGAACACACCCAGCGTGCTTCAAGCCATCAGGTCTAGGACTCGAACTGCAGTTGGCTATGTGGAAATCTAAGACCTTAACCACTATGCTACCTGCTAGCCCCAAAACTTTAAACCTTTATATTTTAGAAACAAGATTTGTCATTTTACAGAAATTATGTTCTTTAAACTGCAGAATATCTTCTTTGAAGAAAACTTTTTTAGATATTTTGTCACAGGGTGCATGTGCTCGCTGGAGACAGAGAGGGAAAGTGATAAATCACCCCCCAAGGGGATGGCTATGCTGCAATTCAATCCCTTCTCCTCCGGGATTTTTTTTTTCTTTTTTTGTAGAGGTTTTTTGCTATAGGGCGCATGCGCTCGCCAGACAGACAGAGAGACAGAAAGCGAGAAACCACCCCCCAGGGGGGATGGCCACGTTGCAATCCCTTCTCCTCCATTCTCCTCTCGGGATTTTGGGCATGCACGCGCACGTGCTCAGCGTGAATTTAAGCCACCAGGTCTGGGACTCAAACCGCGGTCAGTGACATGGGAGTCCAGCAACATAGCCATTATGCTAACTGCTGGTCCCTCTCCTCTGGGATTTTGCAACTCACATACACACAGCAGGTGTGTTTTTCAGGCTTCCATGTGTGGGATTCAAACCTTGGAGGAGTTGGCCATGTGAGATCCAGTGCCTTAACCACCACACTACCTGCTGGCCCCAAAGAAAACTTCTAGGGTTAAATCCAAACATAACTGTAACCATACTTGAAAGCACTCTGACAGCTCAAGGCTGGAAATCCCACACTGTGCTTGTTGTCAGTCCGTTGTTTTCCTGCCTTGTAGGCTCCGGAAGTGTATATTCTACCACTTTGCGCAGTTGATGCTGAATGTTGTGTCCACTGAACTGGGGCCGCCCAGGGTCACCAATAAGCACTCGCGTTCCGTGGGTCCAAAAACAATTCTTCAGCCACCGGTGAAGACTATCAGCAAGGTGTTCATCATAAAACATATCTCCAAGAACAACAAGGTCCCATTTACCTTGTTCCGAGTTCAAAATGTTTTGGGTTAAAATGGGAAAAGGAGTCAGCTGGTTCAATTCACAATTCAGCGTAATAGCCATCCCTGCAACTTAAAATGCACAGACTGTGATGAATTGCCATGCACTATCCTTTTTGTTCAAAGTTATTTTTTAAGGTGTAGGATCCTAAAGTTGATGCCAACATAAGCTATATACTATACTGCAATTTCCAAATATATTAATGGATATCTTGAAAGCAAAACAAATACCTAAAAATGCTGGGAATTTAGGAGCATTTGCTGATCTCAACAACCAAGAGGCTTTGTTTTTTGCTATGAACATGAGCAAGACAGCAAGTCTAAACTGAGACCCCTGTATAAAATAAGGATCTTCAAGGGCCATATCCTTAGTCAAATATTGGGTTGTCAGAAAAGTCATGGTATATTTTCTTGTCTCTCTGTGCAAAAATGCATCATGACTTCCAATGACCCAACAGTAGACCAGAAGAAAATCCAATAAAATAAAAACCTATCTATCTCAACCTGGGGTTCTAATGGAATAGAAATCTCCTCGAAAGATAGATCTATCCCCACTTGGGTTTTGGGTCAAATAAACAGTCTTTACATAATTCAGGCAGTTCCTAGCCCAGAAACTGACCTAAGTGCTGCTAGGTTGGTATCCCTTGGGAAGTCTGGAAGACACAAATACAAATCCTCTAGGGCAAAATGCATCATCAACTCAGGCCTCAGAGGACTCCCACGGATAATGTCCCACTGAAGCTAACTTCACATATCAGATTACAGGATACATGGCAATAAGCTATCACAATGAAGCTTCCGTACATATTTATCCTGAAAGAAAAGAGGGGAGAAATGACCGCTAAGTATTTTTAAACCTGAAATGCTTACTAGGGTCTATGTCGTTGGCCAGGATCCTTGACGCCCCACTCATCTTAGCGGCAATAGCTGTAGCCCCGCATCCACTCCCAAGATCTAATACAGATTTTCCTCTGACAACATCGGGATTATCCAAGAGATACCTAAATTAGAAAAAAAGGAGAAAACATAAGTAAGAGAGACGTGAAAAAGTTAGTAAGAAATATCCAAAAACAGAGAGAGAGCAAGAGAGATGGCTGAGTTGTTGGACAAAGGAATAATAGTAGCAGTTTTGGCCTGACTAGAGCAAGACAAAAATTCAATCTTTTAAAATGCTTTTTAGGCTTTTGCCAGGGGGCATATGGACTCTCAGGAGAGAGACAAAGCAAGAGAGAAAGTGAGAAGTCATCCCATCCCCCTGGGGGAATGGCCATGCCACACTCCTCCTCTATTCTCTACTTGGGATTTGGGGCACACATGCACACTTGCCTGGCGTGTTTTTCAAGATGCCAGGTCCAGGACTCGAACTGCAGAGTCAGCCATGTGGGATTCAGCATTTTAGCTACCACACTATCTGCTGGTACCCAAAATTCAATCTTCAGAGCTAGGCAGAAGTGGCAGGAGAGAGGAACTAGTCATTTGATCCTAATCATCAGCAGATATGAAGAATAGTTCCACACAACTGAGTAATCATACTCTCCGAGATTTTTTTTTTAAGAGAGATTTTTGCTATAGAGCATATGTGCTCACCAGGGGAAGAAAGAGAGTTACAGAAAGTGAGAAATTACCCCACAGGGAGGATAGTTACACCTCAATTCCTTCTCCTGAGATTTTGGGTATGCACACTCGTGCCCACATCATTTTCAAGCCACCAGGACCAGGACTTGAACAATGGTCAGCCATGTGGGAGTTCAATACCCTAACCATTATGCCATCTGCTGGCCCCAAGATGTTTGTTTTTTAGCTGCCAGAGAGTGCACTTGCTAAAGAGAAAGATAAAGAAGGGAATGGAGTTAGCACCCCTCAATGGGACATGGCCACACTGTAATCCCTTCTCCTCCATCCCTCCACCCTGACAGGATTTGGGGCACATGCATGCACATACATGTGCGCCCAGTGTGGGTTTTTTTTTTAATTTACATTCATTCTTCACTATATATCATTACAACATACAAAGTGAGATTTTCCATCCAGAGTACACTGTATATTGGCTCAATCAAGCACATCAACATACATGTTATCGTCAACAAATAATTTTCAATTTCTTGTTTCCTGTATGTTTTGCTTTTTTTTTTTTTCC